TTTTTCGGCGAACGCCTTAATGCAACGTATCCAGTGTATCCGAAGATTTTATAATTGCAACATGTTGTGCAATGTTACATTATTATGTCTCCCCCCCTACCCCCCCTTGGAGCCGCGCCACAGCGCCGTACCAAACTGATCGGCCCCTTCTGGGGCCCTTAAAACCTACAAGAACCTATGACAAATCAACACATTCGGCCTCTTGGGGCCCCAAGAGGGCCTCAAGATGGCCCAAGATGGCCCCAAGGCGGCCCAAGACGGCCCCAAGACGACCCAAGATGGTCCCAAGGCGGCCCATGAGGCCCCCAAAACGGCCCAAGAGGGCCCCAAACGCCCCATGGACGGCCCAAGAGGGCCCCAACAGCGCCCACAACTGCGCCTCCAGAGGCCGAAATCATTGATTTTCCCATGGTTTCTGTAATATTTTAGCGCTCGCGCCTTTTTCGACTCTCAAAAATCCATGACGGCCCAAGCAGCTTCCAGAATCGCCCCAGAACAACCCAAAAAGCGCCCAACAGGGCCCCCAAGCGGCCCAAGAGGGCCCCACAACACGCCAAAAAGGCCCCGAAGACGGTCCAAGAGGCCGCGAAGACGGCCCAAGAGGACCCCAAGAGGGCTCCAATGCGGCCGCGAGAGGTCCCCAAGACAGCCTCCGAGGGGGCGAAACGGCGCAAAGGCGCCCCAAGACGGCCCAAGACGCCCCCAAGAGGCCCCAAGAGGCCCCCAAGAAGCCTCCAAGAAGTCCCCCAGAAGCCTCCAAAAGGCCCCCAAAAAGTTCCCCAAAGGCCACACAGCGACTGGAGTGTAATGTTATTTTCCCCCCTCTGGGCGAACTGCGGCGCAACGCCAGCCAGGTGGAACTTGGTCACTGCGGCGCCCATGATTAGAGCCGGCGCTGGAAGGGAAGATGGGGAGGGTGTATGAAAAGGAAGGAGGGTGGAAAGGCCCCAAAGAAGCCCCCAAGAGGCCAAAAGAAACTCCCAGGAGGCCTCCAGGAGGCCCCCAATTGAGGGATGGAAAAACGACCCTACCCTGGGTTACAAGTGCGCGGTTTGTAAACCTCCTGGGAACCCCCAAAGCCTAGAGCCGCCAGGACGCGGCACATCACGCAGGGTTTACCCGGTCAGCCCACAGGAGTTTCAGCGCACAGCGCCTCGTACACCAGGGTAGGGGCGTTTTTTTCTGCCCTTGACCCAAGAGGCTCCCAAGAGGCCCCGCGACGACGTGACTGTACGTGCTCCGGACGTGCACCTCGCGAAGCGAGAGGAATCAATTTTCCCTGCTCGGGTGACGATGACGGCCCTGTCACCGGCACTATTGTCTTATGGTCCATCTGCGGCCCCGACTTGAAGAGGGGAATGACCATGACGAGGGGCAAGATGACCAACAGGAGAAGCCAGATGAGGACGAGGAGACGGAGGATGAGGAGACGCAGGGGAAGGCGCAGGATGAAGGGGGGAAGCGCACAACCAGGAGGAGCGATAGGAAGAGGAGCAGCAGCACAATAATACCAAGCAGGGGAGGAAGGATGAGGAGGATGAGGAGAATGAGGCCGAAGAGGACGAGGAGGAGGAACAGGATGAAGATGATGTTTGAAACTTTCCCTCATCGAACCCGGCCGCGGGGCCGAACAATCAAAGGTTTGCCTGCACCGCTGTCTACACACCGCGCTCTCTGGCCCACTGGCCGCAGAGAACATCATCAAGATTCTTGGGAGGAGAAGAAGGAGGCTGAGTAGCCAGAAAAAAGGCAGACGCGGAGAAGCATGATGAGACAGGGCAAGATCGCCCACGAGCTCAAGGCGAGCAGCATGGACGACAGCAAAATGAGAAGGACCGAGGTGACAGTGACCCTGGCCACGCCCGCCGATGCACATCCCCCCCGCCCTCCCTCCCTTCCTCCTGTGCTCCCCCCCGCTCTCTCTCCCTCCGCGCTCCCCCCCCCCCCGCCCCCCAGCAGGGCCTGGTTCGGCAGGGGCCCCCCGGCGAGAGCCGCTCTGCTGGAGGCCGCCGCGCTTGGCCGACGCCGCGCTTCGCCGGGCTGTGTGAGGCGCTCCGCCGCACTTTGCCGACGCCGCGGAAGGGTACGGTCGAGCGGAGCAATCTACAAATTACAGTAGGGCAACGAACAATTACATAAACATAAAAACTCAAAGGTCCGCGCGGATTTCTCGGGTCGGCGCTCGACCCCCCTCCCTGGCGCGCGGAGCGCGCCAGGGCCGGCGCCAGAGGCGCCGCCAGGGGGCCCTAGCGCCGATCCAAGAAATCCGCGCGGACCTCCGAGTTCTTCGGGCGTGTCCTCCTACAGGCGGCTTTTGGACGGATTTTTTAAAAGTCCAATGTAGGAGAAAAAACAAAACCAAACAAAAAATTCAAAAAAGTCCCCCGACTATGCTCTACTATGCTTGTACATTCCTTCTGTAAAGGGACAGGCCCGACTTTATTTTGTTATTTTTCTTTCCCCTATACAACAGCATCCTGCGCAGCCGCCTCCGAGGACCCCCTCGACGAGACGAAAAACGCTGGCCCGGCCGGGGAGGGCCGGCGCTGTCTCGGCTTGGCCCCTCGCCGATACATCTCGCGGCCACTCGGCCTCCCCGGACGTGCGAGTTATGCCTTGGCTTTTGCAGCACACGGCCCCTGGAAGCCCGGACCTCTCCCCGGGACCTCATCCCAGAAATAGCTACGAGCACCCAGAAGAGTATCGAAACAGTGTCGAACGAGTAACTATGGCCTCCCAGGGCTCGACACGTGAAGACCCTCAAGTTTCGGTATTCTCTTCGTGCTCTAAATTCTTTCTGGTGATCAAGGCTGAAGTAGGTTGGAACATGAGAACCCGGGACCGGCTTCTCCTCGCAGCGCACTGCCAGCGGCACACGCGGTGTCTGAACTATCACGGGGCGCCTCCTTCACACCTCGTGACAAGCGTCTGGACGCCCGCCGCTGCTGGCTTTCCATCCAAAACCGTTTTCCAATGCCCTTGGGCCCGGTCAGGGGCCCTGGGGATCGAAAACGACGAAACACCTCCGCCCTGAACTCTTTACGGCGCGGGCGTGTCTGGGTCGCGATCGCGCGCCCAACTACATATACACACAAACTCTCAGCGGACGGCCGTCGGCGACGAACGCGGCCAGCAGCGGCGGCAGGCGCAGACGGTGGCCGTCGCCTGCAGCCCTTGTGGAGCAGGGACCTACAGGCCCAGATAATGTTCTTATGGCAGGATCAACCTAGTTCAAAACATCATACCAATGGAATGAAACAGGACGGTCTCCTCCTCCTCCTCCTCCTCCTCCTCCTCCTCCTCATCATCATCATACCCCTCCCCCTCCCGCTTCTCCTCCCCCTCACTCTCCCCCTGCCCCTCCTCCTCCTTCTCCTCCTCCTCCTCCTCCCCCTCCTCCTCCCATTCCTCCTCCGCCTCCTCCTCCTCCTCTTCCTCCTCCCTCCACCGCCGCCCCATGTCCCGAGCTTCTGACAGGGTCATCAGCTCGTCGTTGTCGTCGTCGTCGTGGTCGTCGCTGTCGTCCTTCTGGGTCGGCAGCACCAGCCGCAAGGCCTTCACAATAAAACAGGGCGCTCTCAACCAAACAATTTCGAAGAACATGTCGGGCAAGACATGTTTAGGCTCATGTTGTTCCCATCGTACTTAAGGACTACATTCCAGAAATCATTTCGAGCATCCAGAAAGTGATCGAAAGAAAGTCTGCTAGACTCGCTGGCGACATGTCGAACGACAGTCGCCTCCCAAGGCCCCACAGGGTAAAACCCTCAAACTTCGGTGCTTCCCTGGTGCTCGACATACTCTCTAGTGCTCCAGGCTAGGTAAGTCGGAACATCATACACAGACCCCTGACGTCGTGATTTTTTCGTGACATCGACTCCAGAAGCCTCGACCCCTTCCATGGGACCGGCTTTCCCCACCTGACAGGTTGGGGTCGTTAGATTTTTAGAACAGACCTCCCGGCCACTTCCACCCTGCATGCCGCGGCCGCCAGACCCCAAGTTGTCCCGAGTGTCCCGGTTATCCCGCCTCGCGCCCTCGACAAACACGACAGAACACACCCTGCATGACGCGGCCGCCAGACCCCAAGTTGTCCCGAGAATCTCGGGTATCCCGCCTCGCGCCCTCGACAAACACGACAAAACACAATTTGGCACAACAGAACATGACAGAACAGAGCAAGAGCATGACAGAACATGGAAGAACATAACATATGAAATAGAATGGCACAATCGAGGACACCAGCATATCACATAACATATCACAGCAGAACATGACATAACATAACACGACATAGCACAGCATAATATAATATAACCGAGCATCACATAAGACATAGTGACAGGACATATTATATCATGACGCAGCGTCACCAAACATATCATACGACGACAGCAGGGCATAGCGGCGAACACGCCACAACATGACAGAGCATAGCATACCAATGTCATGATAACATAAGCAGTATATAACTTCACAAAACACATCATACCATAGCATGGCAAAACAGAAGGCGACACCGCACAACATAACATACCATAACCGATGAACGCATAAGACACCTTGGCAGAACATCCCATATCATTGCACTTCACCGCAGACCATATCATAACACGACAATATAGCATATCGCCAAATACTTGCGACATCAACTTGCGACCTGGCCCGGCCGCCGCGCTGGTCGACGACGCTGGGCGCTGCGCACATCCTTCCAGTAGGCGCGCGCACCGTTGGGACCAAACGCTGAAGGTTTCGGTGGGGATCGCTCGAAGCAAAAAAAATCATCCTGAGTCGTTTTTGGACGGCCCCGAGGCCCAGGAAGGACCCCCGGAGGCCGAAAATAGCGAAAAACCTGCCGCCGTGATTTTTTCCTGACTCGGGGGGTCTGGGTATGCTTCTGGATGCCACGACAATGGACACCCTAACAGTCCTATCATTAAACATGTGTTTGAAATGTCTTAAAATTGTCAAACCATGTTGAAAAACATGTCTTTTACATGTTTAAAGCATGTTTAACACATGTTTTAGACATCTGGCAATTCTTTGGCAACATGCTCCCTCCCCTCTGATCGCCCTCCACAAGGGTAATACTCTCAGGCTCCTGCGCCAAAAATCATCTCAGGACGTCCCCCCGGTGGGCCCGGAGGCCGGCCGTGCACGCCTCGCCGCCGCTCGACGCCGGGCACGCCACGGCCCGAGGCTGGACTCTACACGAGCCGGCCGAGCCGGCCGCGCCGCCCATCGGCGCCGCGATCTCGGCCGCTGCCCTCGCCGGCGCCCGCCCCTGCCCCACTCTTCGGCGGCGAGCGAGGGGGGGAAGTGCTGCTGGCGGCGAGCGAGGGGGGGGGGGTTCGGGTTCGACCCTCGATGTTCGAGGCTTTCGGGCGCTGCCGCAGTTTCCTGGCGGCTTGCCGCCCTCGGGATGCGTTCCAGCGGGTGCGCCTCGCCGAGAGCGCTTCGGGGATGCCCGGATCGTCCCGAACGGCCGCTGGAGATCCGAGTTATGACCCGAAAACTGAACTCGGCCCCCCATCGCTGGGCGAAAAAGCGGGTACCAATACCGCTGCTCCCGATGCATCCCGAATGGGGTGGGAGCAGATGAGGTCGGAGTGTCGCTTCGCATCGCCAAGGCATCGGCGATGCATCGGCGGCGTCGGTGATGCATCGGCGACGCCGGCGTGGAGAAAATTGGGCTCCACATCGAGCCGCAAAGGCGATACATCGGCGATGAAGCGCGACCCTCCGACCCCATCTACTCTCTGCTCATCTACTCAGACCCCATCTAGAAGCCCTAGAGATACCACTACTCGAGAGAAACAGAAAGCGGCACTAACAAACTTTCTGAGGTCCGCTCGGATTTCTTGGATCGGCGCTGGACCCCCCTCCCTGGCGCGCGGAGCGGTGCCGGAGGTTCCGCAAGAGGGGCCCAACGCCGATCCAAGGAATCCGCGAGGACCTTGGAGAATTGGTGTTCGTGCCGCTTCCTGCTCTTGGATACTCCCCAGACCTCTCCCAGGGTTCGTTCTGACCAGGACTCACGAGCGGCGAACACATCCGTATAAAGGCCTCCTAGATGGGGTCGGAGTAGATGTGGTCGGAGGATCGCGCTGCATCGCCGATACATGGGTGATGCATCGGCGATGCATCGGCGATGCGCCGGCGATGCATAGTCGACGTCAGCGATGCATCGGCGACGTCGGTGTGGGGAAACACGGGCCCCACATCGAGACGCATCGTCGATGCATCGGCGATGCGGCGCGACCTTCCGATTCCCTCTACTCGGACCCAATCTGGGAGGCCTATAGATCCGTATCCGCGCCCTCGCGGTCTGGACTCCGTGACTACCTACCAGACGACCCCAACCCAACCCGAAGACCCGAATTTGAGCCGAACGTCGGGTTGGGGGGGGGTACACGGGCCCCATGTGTCTCTTCAACGCCCCCCGACCCCCCCCCCCACTGGGAAGTGGAGGGCAACCCGAGGCCTTCGGGTCTGGGGCTGGGGTGGCTCCGTGGGTGGCGACTCCGGGGCGCGCCACCACGCGGACGCGCGGTCGCACGGACACGCTCCGCGCGGGGCACCCGCGAGGGAGCGCCGCCCGCGAGGCCGCGGGGCCGCGGCCCGCGAGGCCGCGGGGTCGCGGAGGTGCCCTCGGCCCACGGGGGCCTGCGCGAGGAGAGGCCGGCCGTGGCCGCGAGGGCTCCCCGGGACGAGCAGCGGCAGCGGCACCCTGCTCTGAGGTCGGGCGTGTCCCCCCTTGCAGGCGGAGGGCGGATGGGGTAGCGCAACAGAGTCGAGAAAACTGCTCAAAATCACGAAGAGCTCAGCAATGACAGAAACGTCGTCCCCAAACTATGGTTCTGCTTGGCTGTTCTTGAATGCTCCTCCTGTAGAGGGACAGGCCCGACTTAACCCTCCTCCTCCCTCGCATGGCGCTCTCTGGGCGCTCTTCGGGAGCCACTCTCAGCGCGCTATTAAGCGCTACTCTGGGCACGGTGCGCTGGGCGACAGCGGCCGGCACGCGTCCAGCGCAAGACGGCAGCCGACGCTTTCCGCCCCTGCCTCTCGCGACGGCTCGGCCTTGCAGCGCCGTGCCCTCTCTCGAAAGACACATATAACGACATAAACATCAACTTTCGACGGTCCGCTCGGATTTTTCGCGGATCCGCGCTAGAGCCCCCCTCCCTGGCGCGCGGAGCGGCGCCGGAGCTGCCGCTAGGGGGGTCCCAGCGCGGATCCAAGAAATCCGCGCGCAGCGCCAAAATATTATGTCTACAGTGGAGGCCAGTCCACAGAAAACCTTCCAAGAGAAACCCGACCCTGAGACCCCAGGGCGTCCATTGACCCTTTTGGTGTGGGATCGCCACGCTCTCCATCGCAGAACCATCGAAACCCGAGAAACTCAGGGCACCCTGGAGGCAAGCAGGGTGTTTCTTGGCATAGGCCCCCACTGTTGAGCAGGGACCGACCGTCCCGGCATTCCTATAGGCCTACCACGACACGTTCTTAGAACACAGAAATGTTCTAAGAACGGAAACAATATTCTTAGAACATAAACCAGATGTGCTAAACCAAGACAGTCCCAGCCAGAACTGTTCTAAGAACATTTCGTGGAGACCACAAAAGGTTCTTAGAACGTGGCTTGGCAGGCTTATAGGCACGCCAGGACGCCTCGCCACTGCTTGACACTGTGTGGCGTTATTTCTTATTCGACTTGCGGCGCCGTGCCCTCCCTCAGGGCCGGCCGCGGCCCACGTCCGGCCCCTCCGCGCCCTCCACCTCCACGATGATCAGCGGCACCTTCGCATCCGACGCCGGGGTCGGCGCTCCGTCCTCCGCTGCCTCCTCGAGCAGGCGTATGGCCGCCTCGGCGGCGGCGGTGCGGCCGAGGGCCTTCTTGATCGCGACGTCCCACACGAGCCCGCCCTCGTTGAGGTGCGCCTCGGAGGCAGCAGAGGGGTGCCGATGGCGGTGCCCTGTCCCTCGTGTTCGCCTTCTTGGTGGGCGTCCTTTTTCATTCTGGGTTCCTTGGCCGGGGGGTGGCGGAGGGAGGGCGGGGTCTGAGTCTGGGCCAGAGCTCAGCCGATCTGCTCTTACCGGTCGCGCAAGTGGACTGGGGGGGGGGGGCCCTGACCAGTCGCCAGAAGCAGCCAAGGGCTGGGCTATGGAGGGGGGGGGAGTGGGGAGGCCGGGGGCCGGCGCCGATCGGCGAACCAATGCATACACTAACAGGCTGCTTGCGCCTACTGGGAGGCCCTCGCCACGGCCGGAGCCGCCTCGAAAGTTAGGTCAGAGCCCACCTGTTGCCGTCGCTCGTGCGTCCATTCCCCGTGCATGTTGTCGGCTTCGGGCGTATTTTTTTCCTTTGCCGGATGATCAAAGGTGCTCCTCGATGGTCCCCGCCAAGAAAAAGTGCGCACGTCCGAGCGGTGCCGAGGCACACCCCTGGAGAGGTCCGGGGAGCAGCAGTGCCCGCCCGGCGCCTGCCCGAAGAGCAGCAGCCCCTTCCTGCGCGTGAGGAGCGCCCCGAAGGGTTGGCGCACAAGCATGCCCCCGCTCCTCTGCGAGAAGAGCTGGTGCACCTCCATGGGCACCGTCCCGCGCACGGATTGCTCCTGTCGGCTGCTCGGGAGAAGCAACGGTACCACTACCATCCATCAGCCAAGGGGGTGGTCGCTCCCTCCCCTCGAGCTGGTGGCACCTCCTTCTGGGAACTGGGAACACGAGGTGCCACCAGCTCGAGAAGGTGTGGCAGCCACCCCCTTAGCTGGTGGTAGTGGTACTTTTGTCTCTGGTGAGCTACGCGGCATCAACCGTCGTGGACCCAGATCTCGCTCCAGAGAATCAGGAACCTGGACGGGACCCTATATGCGTTTTCCTGGAGCATCTCTGCTCGCAGAACTATCGCATATCTGGACCTGGACTGCTGTGGGAGAACGCTTGGAGTGAAGTCGCTTCCTCAGCTTCGAGTTTTCTCTCAAGTCTAAGTGCGGATGCACAAGCAGTAGAAGGTGGCCCTATCGGGTGTTGCCAGAGGCGTCCCTGGCCCAAGCGGTCCCCAGGGCTTCGAGGGATGGTCCTGTGCTCTTCCAGAGCACTCCTCGCGAGGCCCAGAGGGCTTGGTCCATTTTACAAAACGCCCTGGGCGTTTTTTGTTGCGTTGTCTAGTTCAGGCTCTTGACAGGCTGAACATGCTTAAAAACGCTATGTGTTGTGTTAGCGTTTTGAGGGTAGCTTGTTTGGCGAACCAAGCCAGAGGGGGGGCCCAAGGGCCCGCTCCCCAAAACGGGACCAAAGGCCGGGGACACCCTGGCCCATGGACTCCTTTGTGACCACCTGGGGATGGGGAAACCTGCGCAAGCAGAAAGCTTCGGAGGTCTGCGCGGAGGTCCAGAGGCCTTGTGGATATGCAGCTGTTTGTGCTCCTTATTCGACCTAGGGCGGGCGCAGGGGAGAGAGGTGGAAAGCCAAGCGCGCAAGCCGCTGCTATCGAATTGCACTCAACGATCAAGGGAAAGCCCACATTTACCAATACCGCGACTCCCCAGACCTCTCCCGGGATGCGCTCTGACCAGGACTTCGAGGCGAATCCGACCGCGGCGACAAGGGCCTCGCAGGAGGCCCAATGAGGCGCAAACGAGGAAAGTGCAGCGGTATCGGCACTTTCGCCTCATCTGAGATCGGGGGACCCCAGCGGACCCGCACTCAAGGGTCACTCCGTCCCAGGACCGCTCTTGCGAGCGTTGGGAAGCAACTCGCGGAAGCTGCTGGTCGTCCCCATGCTGCCCCGTACTGCGCCCCATCGCGCCCAGTAGCGCGCAAGGATGGCGCAACGCATCTCCCTCGCATGGCTCAATGGAGGGCTGCTTGGGAAAAGCTCGGCGCTTCTGAGGGTTATTCTCGGCACTACTGGGCGAAATTCGCGCGCGCAAATGGGCGCTACTCGCCGATACACGTTCCAAGACGGGCGGAAGCTTCCGTGACTGACTAACTCTGGCGTGTGCGGCCGATCCTGCTCGATGCGCGCGCCCGGGGCGTCCGGGATCCGCAGCAGGTGGTGGGTCACCGGGCGCTTGCTCCTCGGGCACTCGTTCACGGGGTTAGGTCGGGCATGTCCTCCTACAGGCGGATTGTGGACGAAAACTTAGAGATAGGGAAAAATGCTCAGAAGTATTCAAATGTAGCCACGAAATCGTCCCCGTACTACTTTTCTACTATTTTTGAATATTTCTCCTGTGGAGCAACATGCCCGACTTAATCCCGGGGCAGGGAAGCAATCGACGATGCGATTTTTGTCAACCGGTCGTCGTCGACGTCGTCGTCGTCCGCCTTCAGGGTCGGCGGCACCTGCCGTAAGGCCGTCGCAATCAAAAACATCTCCGACGACCTGACCTTTCCACCGGTGGATTTTCCTCGATTTGGGCTTCCAGGGCCCGTGATCGGGCCCCGAGGCCATCCACAGTGGATCCAGCGCGAATAGCCCCCCCCTTCGGTGCCAACTCACGGGAGCCTCCCATACTTGCGAATCGACGCTAATCGACGCTAGTCGACGCCAAATCCACGCTACATCGACGCTAGCCGATGTTAAATCGGCGCTATCTCAGCGACTCCCAAACGCTAATCGACGCTGGTCGACGCTAAAGACGGAATAAAGAGGGCACACCAAGCTCCCACGATTTGCCATCGAATCCCCCACGGGACTGGGTCAGGACCTGGGGAGCATGTCCGCGCCGTGAAACGATTGCGACGGGAGATGATGTTGGCCGCTTGCGGCCCCCCTGGCCTTAGCCGGGCCTTGCGACCGTTCAAAAAACGAGCCGTGATGAGAGAAACCAGTCGACTTCTTGAGGGGGCCCAGGGACACACAAATAGATGCACAAATTTCAGGATTCACGCAGATCTTTCCATGTTTTCTGGAGCTTCGTCTTCCCCCACCCCATACTTGCCACACGCTCCCACATTTCCTGGGGGATCGAATATTTGCGTCTGTGTTTTTTCTCGTCCTGCCTTCTAGGGACCCCGTATGGAAAAACAGACAAAAACAATCAAAGCAAAACAAGCAAGACACCGCATTTCCGGGCACTTCTCTACCGCCCTGCGGGCCGTGTCCATAATGGATGGCGCAGGCCGCTTCGACTCCCTCTTCCTGCCGTCCTCGATCCCCCCTTCCTGGGGTCCGAGTATAGATGAGGCCGGAGGATCGCGCCGCATCGCCGATACATCGGCTGTGCATCGGCGACGTCGGCGGTGCATCCTGCTATCGCTCGGACGTCGATTCCCCGTGCATGTTTCGGTGTCGTGCGCCCGTTTTTCGCAAGATGATCTGGGATGCTCATCGATGGTCTTCACCGGGGAGAAATACACACGTCCGAGCGATGCCAGGGCATCGGAGAAGCCGGCGTGGAGGAACTCGGGATCCACATCGGGCCGCACCGTGGATGCATCGGCGCTGCGGCGCGGTCCTCCGACCCCTTCTAACCTTGGGGGAGAAGGTGACGGGGACCATGACCAGGACTGGGCATGGCAGCGTCGTGTCGGCCTTGGTCGCCGACGATCGTCAACTCGTGGACCGTCCTCGCGAGTCGGCGACGGCCGACATTAGGGGAACGAGCATTGACATGACCATAAAAACTCGGAGGTCCGCGCGGACTTCTCGGATCGGCACTGGAGCCCCCTGGCGGCGCCTCCTGCGCCGCCCCATGGCGCGCTGCGCGCGCCAAGGGGAGGGGTCAAACGCCGATCCGAGAAATCCGCGCGGACCTCTTAGTTGTTGTGTGCATGTGTTCTTTGTCGTGCGACTTGTTAATTGTTCTCCTAGAACGGAGCCTCTCTCGACCGTTGTGTGACTTCGATCCGTGGTGACGTGGCGGCTCAAAAGCCGTTCGGAGGGGGGCGCTCCGGCCTGGCCTCCGCGCTGGATGCTGGGCGCCCTCTGCGCCGCGGGGCCCTGGCTCGGGCAGCTGGGGGCGGCCTGGCCGGGCAGGAGGCCTCCGGGGCCGCGGCCCCGCGGACCGCTGGGCACCCCGGGCACGGCGGGCACGAGCCGCAGCGGGGCTCGCAGCGGTGCTCCGCCGCCGGGCAGGCTGGGCAGGGCCTGCGAGGAGGCGCCCGCGGCGGCCGGCCCGACGCCCGCGCCGCGGCGGGCTGCTGAGGCTTTTGCCGTCAGGCCGGGGAATTTTCAGAGTACCCGCCACGGTGGGCAAGCCGTGCTGCCTGGGCCCACCCGCTCCGCTAGGGTGTACAGAGTGGTCAGTGGCACCTCCTGGTCTGAGGTGAGCGTTGCCAATGACGTTCGCGGAGGCAACGCCCCCCCACTATCCCGCTGCCGCGCACTCCCCTGTGCTGGCCGGGGTCGTGGGGCCCTCCCCTCCCCCCCCCTTAATTCGGTGCAGGTGGCCTGTCCTGGGCACGGCGCGTCGGCGCCCGCTCGCTCGGTCAGCGCCCGCCAATCAAAAAAAAAAGGCTGTTGAGGCTTCACGGCTGAGTTGCTGTTCGGCTTGGGCGCCGGCGTGCTGCTGGCGGTGGTGGCGACTGAGAGCCTGGTGGGCCTGGGGCGGCTCGTGAAACGTGCGGCCTCCGCCGTTCCCTGGGGGTGGCGGCGGCGGCGCCACTGGCGTGGGAACGCGCGACGCCGCCGGGCAGCCGCGGCTTCGGGCGATTAGGGCCTGATGGCCGCAGCGCCTCGGACCCTCGACGTCACCGCGAGCCAAGTCTGCATCAACTTCGACGGCGACGACCACTTCCGCTGGCACCACAGGCTGCTCCTCGTCCCAGGCCATGCGCCAGGCTAGTGGGTTGCGGCGACGCCCGACGGCGAGATTCTGGTGCTGCAGCTGTCCGCCCACCTCGTGGTCGCGCTGACGCAGAACGCTCCGTTCCCGCAGTGTGTCCGCGGGAACGTCGATGCGTTCGGCGAGCTGGGCCAGGACGCTCTCGACCACCTGCGCCTCAAGGGGCGGAACCTCGCCCGCGTCTTGGGCGTCGCCTCTCCCGCCGGGCCGCCGGGTGCTCCCGTGGCTCGCTGGGTGATGGCCGACCCCGCCGTCGAGGGCTTCGGCAACGAGATCGAGGCGGGCTTGGCGGCCAACGTCGACCGCTTCCTGGCGCGCGACGCCGTGGGGATCGCGCTCATCGACGACGAGCTCGGCTTGGAGGCGGTCGAGAACGTGCAGCCCGAGGATCAGCCCCAGTGGCTGGCCGAGAAGCGGCGGGGGCCAGGGCGCGACCCTCGGGTTCTGCCGGTCCCGCCACCGACGCGTGGGAAACGAATGCAGCTGGGCGCTGTCATCTCGGCCCTGAGGCCGCAGGAGGACCCGTCTTGGCCGTTCCGCGGCCGAAGGCGCTCGCCGAGTTCTTGGAGGCGGTCGATGCGTCGGGGCTCTCGCTGACGGCGTACTGGAGGTACTGGGTGGAGCAGTCCGGCGTGGCGTGCCAGAGCGGGCCCGACTTCGAGCTGAAGGTGATCCTGGGGGTCCTCCACCATGCCCCGGTGCACGACCGGCTCGCCGTCGTGAACTCGGCGAGCTTCGAGCTGATGGCGCGCCGCGCCCTCCAGATCCAGCGTGAAGCGGTGCCCGCGTGACCTGTCGTTCGAGTTCCTCGACCTGATGCTGAGCGGCGAGCTGGACGAGTCGGGCGGCGCGGTGACTCGAGGTTCGACGCCTTCATCGCCGAGGAGCAGAAGATAGGCGGGATCATCCCGAAGCAGGGGCGGCTATGGCGCGAAGAGCAGGACCACGAGATGAAGACGCGCGAGAGATCCTCGGGCTCCACCGGGGCAGACAACAAGGAGCGACGGCCAAAGAAGACTTCGCCAAAGGAGGAGGCGAAGGCGAAGGCCAGACCTGGCGACGGCTGAGGGCGCCATGTCGGCGCCCTCCTGGCCCGGCGCTCCGCCAGGCCGTTCCCTCCGTCGGCGCGGCGCGGGCGGTCCTCCGAGGGGGTCTCCTCCCAGGGCCATCCTTCTCTGTTTCCTCCTCCTGAGGGCGGCCGCCTGTTCCGTGCTGCCCTGCGTGGAGAACGTGCCGCGTTGCCTCGGTTCCTGGCCCAGCGCGCTGCTCGTTCGGACGAGCGCGATAGGCGGACTGTCGAAGCCATCTCGTCCATCAACGCGCTCGGCAACGCCCGGGCTGGGCGGCCGCTGCTACTGCAGCCGCCAGCAAGTTGCCGCCGACTACCGCCCAGGAATCCGCGGCCAAGCGGATGCGCAGTCGCGTCCGAAATTTTGAAGCTAAGCCCTCGGACCTGGATCGCGCTTGAGCCCTGCAGGAGCTCCTTCGGTGCAAAGATCTTTACAGTGGTGCTGGGGAAGGCTCGACCCGTCACGACTACGACCCCGAGCGGCTCAACGTCTTTCGGACCTCGGCCGCCCGCCCCTATCAGGATGCGGAACGTTGCCCCATCTCACGCGGTCGAGGCTCTGGACAATGTTGATTATGAGGTGGTGCGGCCTGCGGCGGACATCGCTCCCGACGAAGAGATCGTCGAGCTGTAGTGGGACCCGCTGCTCAACCCGCGCTCGGAGGCGAACCGCGGGAGGCTCGTTGACTTCTTGGCCAGGATAGCGGCGCGCGGCCTGGTGGACGGTCGTCGGCGTCGGAGGGCCTGAGTCAGCACGTTCTTCGTGGCAAAGAAGAACGGGGACATCCGCATGGTCGTGGGTGCTCGACGAGCCAACCAACTCCACCGATAGCCCCCTCCAACCACTTTGGCGTCGGGGGAGGCCCTAGGTGCTATCAACCTCCTCGGCGCTGTGGATGCGTCGCCCGAGGACCTGGCCGACTTCGACGGCTGCTTCGACTTTCTGTGCGCTGCTTCGGTGGACCTGCAGGACGGCTTCTACCAGTTCAGCGACCCTCTGGGGATCTTGGATGGGTTTCGACGTGGAGGTCACCGCGCGAGCTCGGGATCACCTCGATCTACGAGCTCGGGATCACTTGCGCTGCCGCCCCGTGGGTCGGGACGAGCTGGTCTGGCCCTGCTTTGCTGCGCTGCCGATGGGCTGGAGCTGGGCGCTCTGGACTTGCCATGAGGTCCTTGTCGACGTGACGGACACCGTGGGTCTGGCGGGCGACACGTGGGTCCTTGACAAGGCTCGCGCTCCGCAGATGCACGGTGGCCGGGTGGCCATGGCGCCGTACGTCGGCAATGGCAACATGGTCTCTTTGTCGGCGTCCCCCCTCAACGAGAGGCTCGCAGCCCTCGCGGCGGAGCTGGACCGGCGCGGGCTACGCTGGCACGGGCTCGAGTGGGCTCAGCCGGCGCTCGCCGTCCTGGGTCTCGAGCTCGACGATCGCCGTGGCCAGCTCCGACACGCTGCGAAGCGGGCGTTGCGGCTCTATCTGGCGCTGCACCGCGTCGCGCAGGTGCCCCGGCAGGCGCGCTGGCAGTTGCGGCGGGTCGTGGGGCATATCGCCCACTACTTCTCCGCGCTGCGGCCGAGCCTCAGCGCCCTCGGCGGGTGCTACGACTTCATCGGTGGAGGGCCCCTCGATCCAATGGTGCCCTACGGCGTTGTGGCCGAGCTGCGGGTGGCCGCCGGCTTGGTCTTCCTGGGCGAGGTCGACCTCTGCCGAGTCACCGATAGCTCGCTCAAGAGCTACGCCGTCTGCCAGGTCCGCGCGCGGCCTGCTGAGGTGCTGGAGGCCAGCCGCTGAAGGAGGGGCAGAGGTTCGACGCCGCCGAGGCGCCCGTCGACCCCGCCGCGGAGGTCTTCGCGGGACGGGCCACAGGGCTCGTCCACGGCGGCGGCGACTTCGACGTCGACTCGAGGCCGCAGCTGCGCCGTGCCGCGGCGAGGCGCCGCCGCGTGGAGCTGGAGATCGGCGCCCCCCCAGCGGCCTCTCCGAGGAGCTGCTGGACCCGCGGCGCCGGCAGGAGGTGCGCCGGGGGGCCTGGCGGCACCCTGGGCGCATCCACGCGCCGGAGGCACGCGCGGCCGCGGTGCTCGTGCTGCGCGCCGCTGCCAGCGAGGCCTTCCGCGGCACGGAGGTCCTGGGGCTGTGCGACAACACGTCGAGCGCGTGCGCCTTCGAGAAGGGCCGGGCCACACACTGGGAGCTTCTCGCCCAGTGTCAACGCGGCCGACGAGGGCAGCCGAGCTGCCGACAGAGGAGAGCTGCTGCCTGGCCGCTACCGCGGGCGCGGGCCGCTGCTGGACCCTTCGCCTGAGACGCGCAGCGAGCTGGCGCGCGCGCGCGGCGCCGCTGCCAATGCCGGGGCACGCCCTTTCTACCTAATTACGTGGTCAGCGGTGCCCGCAGCACCCCCCGTCGGGGGCCCCGCGCCGCCGCCTTGCCCGCCAAGCGACGCGGGCGGCTATCCTCTCAAGAGACGGAGTCAGTTAAGCAGTCCCCCTCTCCCCTCATCTTCCTCTACTCTGCCCCATTTGTCTGCGGGCGCCCTCGACGGCCACCGCGCCGCCGCCGCTGTCGAGTTCGACGTCGGCGACCTCGCCGCAGTCTGATCTCGCGCTGCCGCTGCCTGGCCTGAACGACTGCCCCCCCGGGGCCGCTCATCGTCGACGACACCGTCATGCTCTGCTTGCCGCCGCTGCCCCGCGGGCCTGGATGGGCACCTTCGCGAAAGAGATCAACAGCCACGGGAGCCCGCCTTCGACGCCGCCGCGCCCCGCTGCTGGCTGCCGCTGCCCCGCGGGCCTGGATGGGTACTTTCGCGAACGAGACCAACGGCCACGGGGGCCCAGGGGTCGCTCGCCACCTTCGACGCCGCCGCGCGTCGCTGCTGGCTGCCGCCCCCCAGGCCTGGGCGGGCCGTCTCGATCCCATGCTAGTCACATACATCAGCGACCATCTTGGGGCTCGGGAACCAGATAAGTTGCCTCGAAAGCCTCGAGACGTCTAGGGAAACCTGGCGTCTTGGAGATCGTCTGGGCTGCGCGCGACTCACGGGGGCGGCCCGTGAGGCAGGCCTCAAGTGTTTGGCGTCGATCGACGTCCGTCGAGGTCTCCACGGTGACCTCGCTCGCCTGGGCCTCCGACGTATGGTTGAATCTTGGCTCGAGCGAGGCCTGGTCTGGTGGGTCCAGATCGGCCCCCCCTGCGCGCGCCGGGCGCCTGCCGGCGGCCTGCGAGAGCCAGAGCCTGCTGACCGCCTCTTCGTCGACTTCACGCGGCGGCTGCTGCGAATCTGTCGGCAGCGAGGCGCCCGCGTCACCTTCGAGAGCCCTCGGGACAGTCGGGCGTGAAGCTACCCGCCGTTGGCCCGCGAGCTGCGGCGGCTGCGCTGGCCGAAGTTCGCGTTCGATCGCTGCCGCTTCGGGGCGCCTTTCAAGAATCCGAACGCCCTGGCTAAATCATTCGCGGCGCAGGGCGCCGTGGGCCTGCGCTGTGTCTGCCAGGGTCGCCACCGCGTGGAGCTGCAGGGCAAGGTTCGTCATCCTGTTCGAGGCTGGGTCTGGCGCGCAACGCTGGCAGGCGCCAACCTGCCAGCCTGGCGCCGCGCTGCGGTGCTGCCTGCTGCGGAGGATGCCCCGCCGAGCGTCTGGGGCCGCTCGGGGCTCGCCGACTGGGTGCGTTGGGATCGCGCGATGGCGAGCGCGGCTGGCGCCCCAGAGCCCGCCGCCCCCGCCGGCGCGACAATCTGCCCGCGGAGGTTCCGCTTCCCCGGGCGAGACTCCTGGCCGAGCGCGCTCGACCCGAAGCCGCGGCGCCACGGGGCGGGGGCGCGCTGCTGACGCTGAAGGCGCGAGCCCGAGGGCCTGGTCGTCGCGACGACCTCGGGGCGCCGTGGATGCCTCGCCTCCGCCGCCGCCAGAGCCCCGCCCCGACGCTGGACACCGCCGGCCGCTGCGGGTGCCGTGCGCTGAGGCCGTGGCGAAGCGCCAGCGGCGGGCCGCGTCCGCAGCCCGCGCCGACGTCTCGCTCGCCGGGCGGAGCTGGGCGCCAGGCGAGTACCTGCGCCTCGCGAGGCTACGGCCAGCCGCGCGCGACGCCTATGAGGCTGCTGTGGCAGAGCTCGAGGGCTTCGCCTCGTCGGTGGGGCTGCGGCTTGACTCGGTCGACGCCGCAGACAACACAATCAACTTGTACTGCGAGGCTCTCTTCTTCGCCGGCGAGCCCGTCTATCTTGCCCAGAACGCCCTCTACGGGCTCTGCAAGATCCGTGGTTGGTCTGCTGCTCGCCCGCACTTCCAGAACCCAAAGGGCGCCCTGGACGGCTGGGCGGCGAAACAGCCAGCCTCGGTACGGCTGCCACCGCCTTGGGACGCCGAGCTGCCCGTGGTGATGCGATTCGCAGGAGGCCCGTTGCTACAAGCTCTGACGGCGTTGGCGGTTCTGGTGCAGTTTGACATGTATTTGAGGCCTAGTGAAGTTCTGTCCCTCGAAGTCTCGCACATCGCCGGCGACCGACGGATTTTTGACCAGCCGCGATCTGGCAGGCAGGAAATGGCTACCATTATCGCGCCTATCGGCCACGACGATGCAAAGCCTGCGAAGAATCGCGATTTTGATTGCACCGTCGTCGCTGGATCTAGCTTTCCGGTTCGCCGAATGTGCCCTGATATCTTACTTGCTCTCCAAGCCCGTTCCCGATCGCGTTCGCCCCCTGTGTCCCTCCTTTTCGCCCCTCTCACTCTTGCTGTGTACGAAAAGTTTCTCCGAGAGGCTGCGTTTGAGGCTGGCGTACACGACCTTCTCAGCGTGCCCCACCAGCTTCGACACTGCGGCCCGTCCCACGATGCCCTTCACGCCGTCCGTGGTTTTGAGCGCATCCAAGCTCGTGGCAGATGGCGGATCGCCTCTAGTGTTCGGGCGTACGAAAAGCATGGCACGCTGCTCCGCCAGACGTCGAAGCTCACACGCGAGCAACGTGCGCAGTGCAACTCATTTAATGCTCGTGCCGTTCCTGCCGTCTTGAAGCGTGTCGCCTCCGTGGAACATCCCATTGTAAGCTGACTCGTTAAAGACCCTCCCGCCCTCCCAAAGACATCTGATATTGGTATGGGACGTGTGGCAAATATTGGGTTTAATGGTCTGCTGTGCTCTGTGCCCGGTTTTGTGCCCTCCGTGGAGGCCCGCGGCACTTGCTCGAAGGATGTGAATGAAAGGTGGCATTTCACTTTTTTCGCCTTGTATCGCACTGGCTACGCCATTGCAGGTCCTTAGTTGCTTGGGCTGCCTCCCCACACATCACCCTGCCGCCTGGGGGGAGAGGCGCGGTGAGCAATTAAAACTTATTGTTTGTTTCCCGGGACATGGACCGTGACCAAGACCAGCATCGACACGCTCCCGCGGCATCCTGGTCATGGCCCCCGTGCTTCCCTCCGTGCTCGCGCCCCACCTGGGATGCCCAGGTTCATGGCCGCCTCCCTCGAGGGAAGAAGCCTCGGGGACCACGACCTGGCTGCCACGGGACCCCGCCGACGCCGACGCTGCTGCTGGTCGCGGTCCACGCCCGCCGTCGCCGATCCGCGAGTGTGATCCACGATTTGACGCTGACCAAGACGGACGGTGACCGAGATCGACACCGACGTTCCGCGTTCCGTCTTGGCCATGATCCTCGCGTGTCTCCCCCACCCGTTTCCTGCAGTCCTCGGCACCCCTTCTCGCTCACTGCCCCCCCGCTGCCCCAGAGCCAACACAATCTCCTGGCGGGCAGCTGCGCGGTGAGCGGACCCAGCGGGGCCGCCTTCGGGCCAACTATCCTGCAATCGGGGAAGCTGCTCTCGCCGAGCTTCTGGTCGTGGTCCTCGTGGGGGACCGCCTGCTGGGGAGCCCAGGGCCCAGGACGGAGTCGGATCGGCGATCGAGAGGAATCGGACCAGCGGAGATCGGCAGCCAAGTCAGGAGACGTCGAATCGGCGGCGATCGGCGAGCCAGTGAGGTCTCCGCTGAGAAACCGAACTCCGAGTCGGAGTCCGAAGTCGCGTCGGAATCGGAGTCGGAATCGACTCGAGTCGGAGCAATCGAAAGGAGCCCTGCGCCTGGGCGCCGGGGTCGCCCTGCGCCTGGGCGCTGGGGTCGAGCCTCGAGTACCCCGAGGCGGCCACCCCGCCACCCTTCTCGCTCTGGGTCTCCAGGGCCAGAGACTCGCCCTCGAGGATCCAGTTCTGGACCGCGGCTGGCACCACCTTCCAGCGCAGGTCCGCGCAGGCGGTGGCGAGAGAGAGGGCGATCAGGAAGAGGCTCGTGAGGAAGAACAGGACGACCGGCGCCGCAGTGAAGCACAGCATGGACATCGCTGCGACGAACGCACCGCGCACGTCGCCCGCGACGCCGCCGACGTACATGAAGATGCCCACGCACGCCATGAGCATCCACGACGCCAGCGCGCAGTTGTCCACGAAGCTCGTGTGGGGGCCGGCGAAGATCGTGGCGACGCCCAGGGCGAGGAGTCCCAGCACGACAGCCGCGTGAAGGGCCATCCACGCGACCGGCGCGTTGTACGCAGCGGTGTAAGGCAGCGCGGCGAGGTAGAAGGCTAGCAGGATCTTGCCGACCACCTCCGCGGGCCACCGCCAGGCGACCCTGTCCGTCCAGTCGAAGCACGCGCCCAGGCGGCCGGAGGTGCACGCCCCCGAGAGCTGCCCCGCGCTGACCCGCAGCTCCACCCGGCCCAGCTCGTCCTCCAGCTCCTCCAGCGCCTGCGCCGGCACCGCGCAGTCGATCCAGGGCAGGCCGGCCACCCCAGCGATGCGGCCGTTGCGGCCGCCCCCCATGTACACGAACTTCGTCGTCGCGCGGATCGGGTGAGCGAACATGACGGGGGTGAACTTCGGGCGCTTTTCCTGCTCCACCTCGGCACCGCCGCCGTACTTCCGGGAAGCGGGCTGCCCGTGCCAGACGCCGATGTCTGTCTCGGCGCGAACGAGGCCCGTCTTCAGGCCCTCCCCAGACTTGAACGAAGCCCGCTTCTCGCTGTTCTTCCGGGCGAGCTCCTGATTCTTGTCGGCGCGCTCGCGCTCGACGCGCTCCGACGGCAACTTCGAGAGGTCGTCGTCGATGGACTCGTGCTTGCTCGTGGAGCCCGCCTTGCCCCAGGGGCCGGGCTCCCACACCAGGCCCCAGGCGCCGGCACTCAGGGCGCTCTCCCGCCCGGGAGAGCCGCGGTGCTCGATCTCGGAGATGGTGGCCGCCGTGGGAGAGAACGACCAGCCTCGGGCGGCGACGCGCCCGACCCCCTGCCGCTTCTGCCGCGTCGACGGGAGGAGGCGGGGCCTCCCCCTCCTCCTGCTCCATCTCCTCCGCCTCCTGCTCCTCCTCTTCCTCCTCCTCCTCCTGCTCCTCCTCCTCCTCCTGCTCCTCCTCCTCCTCCTCCTGCTGCTCCTCCTCCTGCTCCATCTCCTCCTCCTCCTCCTCGTCCTCCTCCTCTTCCTCCTCCTGCTCCTCCTCCTGCTCCTCCTCCTGCTCCTCCTCCCCCTCCGCGTAATAAGAATGCGCGTAACAAGGATGCGCGGTAAGGATGCAGGGGGCCCTGGAAGGCGGGCGAGCGAGCGGCCATGTCGACATTCGGCGGGCGGAGCGCGGCCAGCAAAAGCGGCTCAGGATGGGCAGGAGGGGAAGGATGAAAGGGGCACCCGTGGGACGGTTGCCCATCCTTCCTATGCGGTGCTCGGACTTCGCCGCGTGCTCGACGAACTCCGAACCCTGTCCCCGCCGCCCATCGAGTTGCCTGAATCGTGCATCGGCGAGGGTACGGCGAGTTAGTGCCGTGTCGGCCCCAGCGTTGGTTCCTGACGCCGCGGTGATCGTTCAACCTTGAACGATCGGTCGCTTCCGAAACGTCGGATCGTTCAACATCGACCGATTCCAGGTCGCCGGCGGCGTTCAGCGTTGAACAACGACGCCGGGGTCGCCGCCAGTCTACACGACGCGAATCGAACGTACTTCTCTCTCCTCGGAGTACCCTCATGAGGTTTTTAGTTGTTAGGGCCCTCCTCCTCCTCCTCCTCCTCCTCCTCCTCCTCCTCCTCCTCCTCCTCCTCCTCCTCCTCCTCCTCCTCCTCCTCCTCCTCCTCCTCCTCCTCCTCCTCCTCCTCCTCCTCCTCCTCCTCCTCCTCCTCCTCCTCCTCCTCCTCCTCCTCCTCCTCCTCCTCCTCCTCCTCCTCCTCCTCCTCCTCCTCTCTCTCCTCCTCCTCCTCCTCCTCCTCCTCCTCCTCCTCCTCCTCCTCCTCCTCCTCCTCCCCTCCTCCTCCTCCTCCTCCTCCTCCTCCTCCTCCTCCTCCTCCTCCTCCTCCCCTCCTCCTCCTCCTCCTCCTCCTCCCGCCCCTCCTCCTCCTCTTCCTCGTTCTCCTCCTTCTCCTCCCTCCCCCTCGTCTTCCTCCTCCTCCTCCTCCTCCTCCCTCCTCCTCCTCCTCCCGCCCCTCCTCCTCCTCCTTCTCCTCCTCCTCCCCCTTCTCCTTCTCCTCTCTCCTCCTCTTCCTCCTCCTCCTCCTCCTCCCCGCCCCTCCTCCTCCTCCGCCTTCACCTCCATCTCTCCTCCTCCTCCTCCTCCTCCTCCTCCTCCTCCTCCTCCTCCTCGTCCTCCCCCTCCCTCAGGGATCGAATCTCGCCGCCGACCAGCCTGGCAGAGACGCCAGGAAGTCCAGGAGGGCGGACGGCAGCGCCGTGGCGATGCGGACTGCGCTCGAGCAGGCCAGGCGCGCCCTGCTGCTCGAGGGGGCCCCCTCGGCCGCCTGGCTTTCTTTGCGGGCCCTGCCGTAGGTGGCCACCTGGACGACGAAAACAAACGGGGCGATCGTTAGATGTTGGCGGCGAGCGAGGCGTGGGGAGTTTCGGGTTCGAAGTTCGAATTCGAGATTTTTAGCTTCTTGGCGGTCTGCCGCCCTCGGGATGCGTTCCAGCGGCTGCGCCTCGCCAAGAGCGTTTCGGAGATGCCCAGATCGTCCCGAACGGCCGCCTCAGACCCGAGGTATGAACCGAAAACTGAACTCGGCGGCGAGCGAGGGGGGAACTGAGAAGGAGGAAGCCTTCTCGGAAGGCGGCGGGACTTCTCAGAAACCCTCGCGCCGTCTGAGAAGTCTTCCGTGTCTGCGGTGAAGGCTTCGACAACTTCTCTCTGAAGGCGGGGGGGGCTTCCCAGCCTTCTGATGAGGCCATCTCCTTCTCGCTTCCCCCCCCGCTCGCCGCCGACGGTGGCATGGTGACCTTACGCGGTGGCTTACGCGGGCCGCCAGCCCGGTACGCCACACTGCAGACGAGGGGCGCTGACGCCCGACCTCACGCGCCCATGTCGGCATAGGCGCCCCCATTTTCTTGTGCGTCGCTCACCTGGGAGACGTTCACGGGGATCGCCCGCAGCTGGTCGCAGGTCCTGTCCACGAACACGACCCTGGAGGAGCCGGGCATGACCATGCCGATCACCTGCTCAGTGTAGAACCAGCCGCGGAGCTTGTAGACGACGTAGGCCGGGACGGCCAGCAGGCCCAGCAGCACGGAGAAGCCCCAAGTCGTCTCCAGGAAATTGGCGACGACGAACCTGGGCGTGGCGGAGTAGTCCGGGATGCAGCAGACGAGCGCGAGCGTCGCCCCCCTGAAGGCCAGCGGCAGCACCAGGACGTTGAAGGCCCGGAGCTCCCAGGCGCCCATCCACAGGCCGTGGGGCAGGCTCTCGGCGGAGCCCGAGCCGTTGCGGAGCACGTGCCTGCCCACGGCCAGGGCGTGGAGCACGACCACCGCCAGGAAGGCGTAGGCCACCGTCGAGACCATCTCGACGGGGGGCAGCGGCCTCGCGAAGGCCTCCAGCCGCACGGGAGGCTCCGCGATCTGCCTGCCGATGATGGCAAGCAGCTGCATCGAGGCGACGGCTGCGGAGAGGGTGGGCAGCCCAGCGAGCGTTGGCGCCGGCAGCCCGAAGGCCTGCATGGCCATCACCAAAAAGTACATCCCGACAGAGGCGAGCCCGAGCAGCGACAGGTTGCTCCCTAGGGCTTCCCACTGGCCTGGCGAAATGTTGGAGGCGTCCCACGGCATGCGCGTCTGACCCACGACTAGGCCAATCTGATACTCGACGTTGGACTCCTCCTCACTGCCCTCGGGGCCCTCGCCGACTGCGATCGTGAAGAATGAGTACCCGCGCTTCGAGGGGGCGTTGGTGGCCCAGCCGACCCAGGGCACGGCGGAACCGTCCTCCTGCAGCCGCCTCGTGCCGACATCCAGCGTGTTGCCGTCATTCTTCTCCTGCTGGATGCTCAGCGTCCTGCCGCCCTCTCCGGCCTTCGGCGAGCAGATGTCGCAGAGAACGAAAATCTTCACCTCCGCGCCCGGCTCCTTGTGTGCTGCACACTAGAATGACCACAGCCAAGAGTGACCTTTGGCGCGCGGCTTCAGGCGACCGCAGCAGGTGCCAAATCCAAGCAGTCCAAGCGCGCCAGCCAGTAGTGGTGGGACCCACGTGAGCCCGCGCCAAAGGTCATTCGGGCGAGTGGTCACTCTCACGCGCAACGGACCTTGGCCCTGCAGGCGAATCGCCGCACGCCGGGGTTCGACGCGTCCGGCTCGCAGTTGCCCTTGCTCGGGTCCATGAAGTTGAGCTCGAGGGCCCAGTCCTTCACCCTGGAGCTGGCCATGACCAGCGGGAGGTCTACTTGCTTGCCGCCTGCCTCCTCGATGCGGAGTCCCATCAGCTTGATGGGGTTGGGCGACACGGGCAGGCTGGACACGCCGTTCTCCAGGGGCCAGATCGCGTTGGTCTCGATGTTTGGCCTCAGGCCGATGCTCAAGCCCTCCCCGAAGCCAAAGTCGCCGCGCTCCGAGGGCTTCAGCGGAGGATCTGATTGCGCCCGCAGCCCTACATGGCCACCTCTCTTCGAGGGGAAGCACACGAGGTGGTCCTGCTCCACAGACCACAAATTCATCTCCTTCAGGCCGCTCTCAAAGATACCCGGCACTTTATCGCAGTACCCGTCATTCGACTCCAGGAAGACCTTGCGGCTGCCCTTGTCCAGAATGACCTCCGCGCCGTCGTCAATCGGAGGCATTTCCGGCGCAACGTCCTCAGAAGTGGCGTTCTCGCCGCCATCGCCCTCACCGTCCGCCTC